CCATCCAGAAGCCGGAAAAATCACCTTTGGATTGAAGGGCTTATTCCCAAAGAAACGTATCTACGTTTATGTTCTATCTCTTGTTTTACGTATTAATGTATTCTTAAGTTCCTTCAATAACATACTGCCAAATATTCAAAGTTTCTCTTTCAGAAAATGATTAATTATGTGGATTTGTTTAATCCTTTCTTGAACTATAAGGCTACATTTGAATTATTTCTCTTCTAGATAAATGGTATTGCTTGGAAATGCGCTACTTTGGAAAGAAGTTCATTTTAAGGAAGTTGGTAATTGGAGGGGTTACTTAGATAGATTGACGTTTCCTTGCGAGTCAACTTGCTAAGGTCATTAGTCCTATAAGTGTAGTGCATGATTTTATTACGAGAGGTGACGGTGATCTTTCCCCTCTGAATACTCTCGGCGTCGACCCACACATCGTCTTGCGGGGTTTTCCTCAACCTGGAATTTCCCACCAGAGGGGCACTGCCGAGGCAAGCTCTAAGTTCCCGACTGGATTTTCGACATGGTGGTTGTATAGTGCGTGGAAGAGTATGTAAGAAGGCGAGGAGGATACGAACTAGGAAGAGGAAGGGAAGATTGCGCGCGGTCCATGGCCTGTGTGTTGGGGTACTGCTTCGGCATCCGCTTGGCATGTGGTTGATCGTAGAAACCTCGGGAAAATATCGATCAGAGTAGCCGGTTGCTAGAATTCTCGAGGCAGCGGCTGAATTCCACCTAACTGTGAAACTAGTGTCAAAAATTCTGCCCAGTCTGGTCTCACACCCTAGGACCTATAAATTATAGTAACTTCAGTGACATCTGTTGACACCTTGCGTTTTGTGTATCTCTTAGAAATCATTGACAGGAATACTAATATATTTTCAGATTCAGCGTGTGTAATATTTGGCGGACATATTATGCAACTCAATGAATTCACAAGAAATTTATTCAGGTGTTAGTCTGTCAACTAACGGGAAAATAAAAATCTGAGTTGTTCAGAAAACACCGCGGTGTCAACTCAATAAACGAAATACTCGAAGTTGTTAGGGTACATCTCTGACTGAACGTATAATTCTTTGCCGTGTGACAGGCACGATTTTTATTGCCCCAGAGAATACAGAAGATGTAAAGAAATCCACCTGAGCGAGCAATTTCTGATTGGTTGGAGGGTTGCGGTCTTATTTAGCAGTACACGCGTAATAAAGAAGTTCCGTGCAATTCACGTAACTACTTGTAACATGTTTAAAACTAGGATGAATATAAATGAAATAATTTGTTTACGTTCAATAAAATGTATTACGTTAAATGTAAAGTTGTAATTTCGCAAATATACGAAGCACGGGCCCAACCACAATCAGGTGTTAAGCAAACATTAATTTCCATGGAATGGCAGATTGTGTAATTCTTATAGGAAATGTGTAGTCAGTCATATTGAGTCGATAATTACTTCAATCGTCATGTTTGAAATGATACGCATGTCATAGCGCACAAAACCACAACCTCAGGCTTTCACTTCTCCCCATAGCACGTTACACAGTTTTTAATTTTTTGACGTTAAAAAATAAATAAAAAGGTTCGAGACTTCGTCAGTTATTTTATGCAACGTATCCTACTTGGGTCTACAGACAGTTGTTTTCACGAAGTTCTGACAGCTGGTACAATGGTTGCAGGATTCAAGAGAAAAATATATTCTGAATTTTGTATGCATCTAATATATTTTCTAATTAGATAAAAATGGTTTTAAAAATATTTTTCTCTCTTATAATGTTTAATGACGTCGTTCGACATTGAATACAAAGTTCAACGAGGAATTTTCCTTGAACTTCCGTTTCCAGACGGTGACTCATCCAGAGATTCTCGGTTAGACAGTTCGGCTACTGACGCCAGGTCATGAGTGCTGAAAACCTCTCCCGAAATATGCATGTGCATAAAAGACAATTGCATGAAATGTGTTCATTGTTGTCTTTTAGCAGTTGAAAATGTTAAAGGAATTTGTTTTATATTTACAGTCTATTTTCAAGTTATCAAATTCTTTCATGTCCTGTTGAATTGAAAATGTAACAACATTTGGAAACGAATTTCGCGAACGTCACCAAAAGTTTGTCAGTTTAGAATTGATTGTTGAATCACACATTGAATTGAACATTGAATAAGAAAATTCCAACCACGGAATGCAGTGAACCTACGTGTTTATTAATAGACAGATCGTTCTGTGATTCCCCCGAATAATATAATTTTGTGTACAATATGAGTAATATTTTATGTTGTACCCGTCATGGCTGGAATGAAAACGACTTACAACCGTGAGTGCCTATAGCCGACTCAGAGATCAGTAAAATACTTCTATAAAATAGGCATATTTGAAAGAAATTGTTAACGTTTTTGTTAACAGACGAAAGTATAGAAGAGTGAGTGGAAAAAAAATCACTCTAAAAGATATATTAAAAATAATTTAAGGTAACTTATCCAGAATAAAATTAAAATCAGTGTATGGAACTCTTCGAAAAAATATATTTCCCATAAATTTGTTATTGCTGTTTGAAACCAATGCCTTGGGCCATTTCAATGTATTACAAAAAGATAATAATCTTGATAAGAATGATGAAAGCATAACGGAGAAAGAAGAAAGGCATACGTAGAAGACCTTAGGTGCAGAGATTGTCTCGCATGGACGAGAGGAAGCATCCCCTTCCAATTCTCCTTACTGGCTCAAGTGGCCCAAGGGATCAGCCGATGTCACTGCAGAGCGTCTGACTGTGCGGTCCTAGGATTTGAGACCCGATGGTAGAAGAATTTTCGACACTTTATACATAGGCCGAATTCAGTCGCTATCTGGAGGGGAATTCTGGCGACTGTTAGCTATGATCAGTAGCTTTTCGTGATTTCTCCGATCAACACTAGGCGAATGTTGGAAGCAGAAACCTAATAAAAAGGCCTCGCACCGTGTGCGATCTTTTCTTCACCTTCCTCGTCTTACCCTCACTCCTTTACACATACATTCACTACACTTCTGCCTGGCGGGAGACCAATCGTGAGCATAAAGCTTGTTCCGCTTGGGGAGGTTCCCCATTGGTGGCAAATACCTGGGTGGAGATACCCGCAAACCGACGAGTACGTCGGGGCTAGATCTCACTATCCAGCCCTATCCCACTTATCCAGGGAAAGAAGACCACCACCTTCAGTACGAGAACATGCACTAATCTTAGGTTATTAATGACCATAGCCGTTTACGCGCTCTGTAACACAAAATAATCAATCACCCCAACTTTACGATCGTCCGCCAACGAACAGGCGAGTTGGAGTGCTGAGATGAGAACGATTGTCGTTATGCAACGGAGAGTTGATGTCACGGGGATGGTACCCTTCACTTATGATGCAAACGTGCTCAAAGAGCGTCACCTGTCACTGATGCGGAACGTGTGCCAACACTTCAATGAACGACAAACGGGATGTTAAAGTCTGTAGCCCGTATGCTCTTGTTGGTTGCAGAGGGGAGTAGGGCTGTCGGTTAATATTTGGCGTTTGCGGAGTTGAAGGTTTATTCTCCGCGGTTCAACCACAACTGATGCCTTCGCAATGCACCCAGCTAGGTAGATGGTTATTTTTGTCATGGTGTCGAGAAAATATCCTTTCAACGTGCGTATTGGCCGGGAGAAGCGGTGGAACGAGACATAAAATTACGATTGCGCAGTTGTAAAACATTCGCTTCATTTCTTCCAGTAATAATTCAAGAGCCTATCCGTTTTTAGAGAAATATAATGACGGAAAGCGAAAACCAGGCAACATACGATTTTTTTCGGAAAACGTTAAGTAAACACTCAAAACATTGAAATTGAAAGCACGAAAAAAAATATAAATTCAGTAAAGCGTCAATAATTAAAACTTGAAGACTCCGGATTATCGATAATGCGCATTCGATCCTGGCGAAAAAATTGCTCAAAAATATACTGTAACATTTACTGTAGAGAGAATGTTATTATTATTGTTCTTTAATACATATGTATTATATAGTAGTCCTGGATTTCCACGACATAAAATAAGACAGACTCTACAAGCAATATTGTACATTCAACTCAATAATTTATTCTGGAATTAATTACAACAAACATTTTAACAAACTTAAAAATGACCACATTAACATTTTCTTTCATCCGCTACATTCCTATAATCAACAAAGTGGTTTACGAAGGATTATAGCAACGTACGTTTTACGTTGAAGACTAATACCGACGCTTTATTTGTTCATTTCGAATATCCGCACAATTAGCTAATCCGGAATAGGTCCGGTTCCAATTAAGCCGGATTATTGACGTTCTACTGTAAATAGCACCATTGACGTTTGCAACGCGTTGTTCAACTACAGCGTCCGATGCATTGACCTCGTATTTCACAGGACTCCGCGGAAGTTTCCTTCCAAAATTCTCGTTGCGAGTGGCCACACCGCTGAAGCTGTCTGCTCACAATATAGAACACCCGACCCCCGCTGTAAGAGCGTAAACAAGAGAGGTTGTCTATAACGCAGTTGTCGAAGGAGCGGCCCGCGCTGCCGTATTTTGTGGTCCGCGAAAGCTTATTAGTCAGAAGCGAGCCAGTTCAAGTCTCTTGCAACCATGTCGAGTGAGAAGATTCCTCGCCTAGCGCACGCGCCCTGCCGGGGTGATCACCCCTTAAATGTGAAAATTGGTTACGTTTAGATATATGTAATTTTTATAGTAAACTCAGAATTTCAACATCATTCCAATGTGTTTCATTGCGTTATGTTACGGCCCGATGTAATGCTTGGTTCCATTTCCCCCTCCCGTTTGAGATAGGCCGGGAATTGTGCCGAGATCAACAATACGGGGACGTCAGATGTGGATCGCGCGAGTAATGAAATTTGACCCGCAACCATATTAAAGTTGTGGCCATAGTTGTGGCCCTCGAGGCCTTATAAGTTGGCTACCCCTGGACTACAGCATGGCTTTTCTGTTGCAGCGGGCGAGTGCGGCGTGCCGCTGGGCATGGAGGAGAACCGCATCCCTGACTCCGCCATCAGCGCCAGCAGCTCCTACGAGGAAAAATCGGTGGGCCCGCAGAACGCCAGGTGAGTGCAAGCACTACCACATCCGTGCCCGCTCCTATTCGGAAGCTCAATGTTCTTTGTTGAGCTATCAGTCCGTAGCCTTTTGGACATATCTCAAACCAATGGTTTTCTGTGATGGCTGGACGTGTTTGTTGTGATACGAATTGAGTAATGACCGAACATTGATGGAATGAGGTGCAGGAAAAGCGAGAGGACCCAGCAGAACCTTACCGCGTGCTTGTGCATTTGCGACTCAGCGAAAATGTACTTGTCTACCACATGGATTTCCAATTCCACATGGATCGACCAAGATGTGAAGCCTGATCACTTAACTACGAGTTTTCCCGCTCGTGTTCGGGTGTACGTGCTTGATTTTCTTCGACTCCATCACGTTATCCCTACACTCGTCGTCGGATATCAAATATTCGTTGCTGATGTCATGGTTACATAATTGTCGGTGACTTTCTTGTTACAGTTTCATCGGTTGCGTCCTTGGTTACATCCTCGTCGTCCACTTTCTTGTCTGTTACTGCTTCGGGTACATTCTCATAGGTCACGTCCTTATCGGTTACTTCCTCGCGGGTCACTTCCTTGTTTATTGCATCCTCATCGGACTCATCCTTGTCGGCGCCAGTCACCCCTCCGAAAGTCACGTTGTTATCGTCCACGCGTAGTTCTCTGCATCATTGTAATATTCCGCGTCTCGTTTCCTAAGCCTTCAAATCTTATTTCTTCGTTCCCTATGCCCTCGTTCGATTACTCCCTCGTTCCCCTACATCCTCGTACATCCTCGTTTGCGTGCATCTTCGATCATCCCTATCCGCGTTCCTCATTTTCGTCCCTCACGAATTCGTCTCTGCACTCAGGCTCGCTACATCCTCATATCCTACTTTCTAGGCTCTCGTGTTGGTCTCGCCTGTTCTCGTCTTCCATATCTTCATTACTACGTTCGCGTGCCAACATACTCGTCCGAAGGTCAACACCCACCCCATCATCCCTATGCCCCCACCTCTAATCAGTACTCATCCCCTGCCCGCACCGCCCACCATTATTGATTACGCGTTAATTAAATTGAGAACAAAGACAAATTTTAATTAAATCGACGCAGTTGAAGGGGAAACCAAATATCACGCCTCCGCCCGTTACCCGCGGCCCGCCTCCACGTTCTGCCCTCCGCTACTCTCAACACCATCATCTACAATCACTACAATCATCGCCGCCACCACCTCTGCCGCCGCCACCGCCACCGCCGCCACCGCCACCGCCACCGCCGCCGCCACCGCCATTGCCGACACCATCGCCGACACTACCGCATCTTCATTACATTTATTTGCCACCATTTTCGAATTCGATTTGTCAGAAAATACAGTTTTTTAAGCACATTCTTGTACGATTTAACATGCAGTTGTGTCCAAAATATAACTTTCGCGGCAAAAAATTACACTAACGGTCGCAGACACATGCGTTGTCTGGCGTACTGTGCACTTCAGACCGGCACTGTTAGGCCCTATGCTCTGCGACAAATCGCAAGAAAGTTGGCATTCTGACAAGCTGACTTTCATGACAGTTTTTCCGAGAAAATTCTTGTATTGCATTTGAAATCACGTAGACACAAAGAACGCTTAACCTAATGGTACCTTGAGAAGTTATTGGCACAAAAAATAAACTCGAAGCATCTAGTCGCACTAGTAATTTAGATCAGTAGCCTTCTTCCTGCTTTTACTCTCTTCTTTCATCTTGCCCAGGCACACCTGTACACATCTGTACACTCTTGGGAAATCAATGAATATTTTTCTACAAATTAAATCAAGACGCAGGGTAGACCTACTATTTCCTTCTTAATAAGCTATATAATATGTTTAAGTATTTCTTAATTGAAATGAATTTTGTATTTTTCATTTTTATATATTTTTCTGAAAGACCCTTCCTGGATATTCTTAGTTGTTATTTTCAAACGTTGTACATATTTGTTAAAATGTAAATTCCTAAAACCCTTGAAATACATAATCTGGTCGGATAAGGATAATAAAAACGCGTCTACAATTCGTAATTGTGTTCGGGTGTCAGGTGATGCTGCGCCAAGGCTAGTGATGCCGAAGTTTCGGATATCATACTCTAATGTGCCTCTCATACTCATACTACACAATTATGTCATTTAGATTTCTGGACTGAAAGAAATAACTATATATGGGAGATATTTGTATGGGGTGTGTGGGGAAGAAAATTAATAATTATCTGAGAGTGGCGACATAATTTCGTATTACATTCCGTGTTTTCACGTTCGAGAACAGATTACAGAGATAGATAAGAGAGAGTGGAAAAGAGAGAGAAAGGAAGGCAGACAGAGGGGAAGGAAGAGTGGAAGAGAGTGAGAGAGAGAGGGGGAGCAAGGGACTGAGGAGAAGAGAGAGTGAATCCGACAAGTTGCCTTGAAGTGGGGAAGGTAAATGATGTAATTATGCTTGATACATTGAAGTGAGTATTCTCTTCCATGAACGGTTTTTGCTCAATATGCAATAATTCTTGGAGTCTCAATGCTTTGCGTTCTAAATTGTTGTTCGTCAAAACTATTGCGTCTGTCTGAATCAGCCGTTTTAGTTTTTAGTTTCTCGCCTTACGCATATTTCGTAAGAAGAGCAAATTATGTAATCGTGCTCCAGAAAACAGCAAATTTTTGCCAGAAAAACTCTTATTGCTCTGGTAACAAAAGTGGATAATTCCTGTTGCAAAGTTTAGAAGAAATCTTCTCACACGTGGTGTAGCCAGAATCCATGCTTTGTGGGTTCTTGATCGTTCGGAAACGTCCGTCAACCGTCTGTCTATCCTCCCTTCCGTATGTCCTTCCTTCCGTCTGTCCTTCCTTTCATCTGTCCGCCCGTCCGTCTGTCCGCCCGTCCGCCTGTCCGCCCGTCCGTCTGTCCGCCCGTCCGTCTATCCGCCCGTCCGTCTGTCCGTCCGATTATCGCCAAAATTAATATTTCATGATCGAGCTGATGGGACTGGATGTTTTGCTAGTTCCTAAGGGATATTTTGATTGTTAAGTTTTTTTACATGAATCAGCCAATTACCTTTTTATGCCTCTGCCTGAGTTCGATCGTGACGTCGTCGTATTAGAAGTGCCGATAAGGTTACTTTGAGGTACTGAGATCGGTTCTGGGAACAAAAAAATTGCTGCCTAAAAACACTTTTGCTGGTTAATGTAGGAGTACAATATTGCGGAGCATTTAGAAACAATAGGAGAAAGTATATAATTTTGTAGCACCACTAGTTTGATTCATAGCGTTTTGACGAGGTGAATATGACGAATTGAATTAAAGGTACATTAAATGATACTTATATTAGAAAAATATCTTAGTATCAAGCGCAGATAGTTATATAATATTATGTTCTGATCTACTCATAACATGCTCTATGTCATCACATAGATATGTTTCTTTAAGATAATGAACATTCCTTCAGGATTTTCATCGCTCTTCCGTAAACGGAACACATGTGCCGGAAGAACGCGTGTTCCGTCGTGCACGTGCACCTTTTAATCATCTTCCGGCAGCCCTGCTAACATATCCACTGTGCGGGTTGCATAGCACTAGGGGCTTCCCGTAGACTGCGCGCGATAGCGCCGAGCACGTGGACATGAGGTTTCTTTGGGGAATATGGTTCGTACTCCGCAACGTTAAACAGATACGAGACAGTGCACAGGGACCCTGCAGAATATCATCCCGGAGACGATGAGCTACTTAAAACAATGTTGATCAATTGATTTCCAAATGCTTAGTTGCATTCTTGAAGTTGTACTTAATATTCTCGTAGAGTAATTGATTGGCCTCTTAATTTGTCTGTGTTACATTCTACACTAAGTTACATTCTATATTTTATAAAGGCAGTTTCTGACATGTAATTGAGGTGTCAAATCTTCCAATATAATGTTTGAACGAGTGGAATGCATCAGCATACTTGCCGTGGGGCTATCGTTTAAGGTTATAGAATTCTTCTTATATTTATATAACATATCATAAAACAAGGAGTGTGAGAACTTTTCTATGACATCTAATCACTTTTGCATAAATCACAAACATTTGATCTTAGTTTGTGAAGTATTTTTATGTCGAAACACGCAAACATAGAATTATAGCATTTACAATTTCAATTGCTCATTGATGAAGTTACTTAATAATGAATTCTATTATAACAAATAGCTATTTCAGTTTATGAAATAGATATATCTTATATCAAAATGCAAAACTTCATAAGCAGTTGCAGTATTTCACCCTTAGTTGGCAACATGCCCGTTTATTATTTACAATAATTTTTTGGGTAACGATGAAAAGTGTACCAAGGAGAGGGCCATCTTACAAGTTTGTTTACATGTTACTAGTTGAGTGCCTGGAACCTGCAGCAGGTGAAGATCGCAGACGCCAAAAGTATAATTGTAATTACAAATGTATAATTGGAATGACACAATACATTGGAAACAATGTATACCGTTTCAAACACGCCTAACTCATGAAATATGTCGTACACACATAGGGAGTTGATTTTCAGGATTTTTTTTGTATTTTTTATTTATTGCGATATGTGGTGATAGTACAATTGTTAGTTGCGAGCATTTTTACACAAAATGATGCGTGCAATGACACACCCCCTTAACCCGTCGACCCTGTTTCTTCAATCCTTACATGGATTCTGTTTGAGGTCCTTTTGCCCTAAACGTTTTACGAAATAGCTTACAACCATTTCAGGCACGGATGTTATTAGGAAGTATTCATTGAGAACGTATGCTATTCATTTGCTTTATTTACTATATCGTACTAAATAACGAAGAATAATGTCTCCAAAAAAAAAACATTCTAGCATAACCTCATAACTATACATAGGGGTCTATCTTATGAGCATGAGAATGTTTGAAGAAGAGCTACCAAATAGTAATAGACAAGTACTCTAAATTATGACTTAGAAATCACAACATATGCTACAAAACGCAAATGGACACGTTCTAAGAATTTTTCTTTTGTAATTTAGAC